GTGCATGTAAACACACAAAAATCATTATGATCGCATGATAATAATATAATACGAGTACGTACCTGCCGTATGGAAATTAATAATAATAATAATAATAACGAAACGGATAACGAGTGTCGTGTGCAGTGCTGTGGTATATAATATTATAATAATATAATAATTATTAGAGCGAAACGTCTTAGCGACAATGGAATGGACATCGGGATAGCGTATTATACACATCATATAATATATAATATCATAATACCTATGTGTGCACGCGGTGCGCGCGTAGAGGGTACACGTAACAACGAAAATTGAATAATGAAAACAGTCACTGCGTCTCGGTCCGACCTTAACCTTTTGCCGGCGCGGGCAACACTTGGGCAACGGCCGCGGAATGAAAAACGATACAGCGATGAAGATCTGTTGTATAGGCATACAAGATACCAGCTATAGGTAGCACAGACGGCGAAGTCGGCGGTTTCGCAACGCGATTATTTGTTTTTACGTATTCACGAAAATAAAATCACGTAATCCAGTTCTGTACGTACCTACTGCTCCCGAGGAAATTTGCCAATACCTATATATTATATTATGTTTCGCTCAGGTATAATGTAATTATGATATGATTGTGTATACGCACGACATCCTCTTCGGTCGGCGGCGAACGCGGACGGATTATTATTATTATTATTATTATTATACGTACGTGCACGTATATTACACGCGTACGGGTTCGGGGCAAGTGTGTAGAGGACTGCGGAGAAATTCTTCGTACCTACATATAATAATATCATCATCAAAGTACATACCATTATTACCAATGTATTACTAGATAAATACATATATATTATATTTATTGATGATATTAAAAAGCGAAAAACCATAATATTATGTACATGTAGTACATATTGTATTCGACTTACACGTAATACGTGTACGTTCGCGTGTAATTGCAGTGATAGTATTTAATCGAATACACGAAAACACACATTGATCTCGAATAGTCGTAAATTATAACTTGACACCTATGTACAACATATATATATATATATATATATATATATATACATACATGTTTATTAAATATATTAAATGTGCTATAAAGATATGAAATATATTTTTATTATACGCAGTGCATTGCGATAGATGTAATGACTTCAGATGTTGTTGGTATTATTCCAGAATCGCAATGCACCAATCACTCACGATGACTCTCGCACACGTGGATTCGTCTTCACATGTGATGGACTCACATACATTTTCTGAATAAAAAATCTAAAACCCCCAAAAATAGTGTATATTAAGAAACGTTGGTGATGCCTATACTTATTGATTTATCCGCATACTTTATGCATAAACACCATACATATTACATACGGTAGAATAGAGGTTATAAGGGGCTACAGGCTTTCCAAAGTTTTAGAAAAATTAAAAATGCTTTCAGCTAACACTTGAAACGTAACTATGTATTAAAATTATATTTTACATAAAGATTTCTGTAAAAATATGACTAAGTATTACTTAGGAGTTAGGTTATTACTAAGTCTACAAAATCAGCATATACTAAATTTATGAGGCATCCTAGGTACCTAAATCTCTCTTATGTAGCAAATTATCACCCCTCTTTCCTCCTAAAAACAAAGTTCTAGTTACGCCGCAAATGATAAGAGCTCAACCACTTCAACTCACATAGGTAATGAATATTTGGTATAATATGCACTACCTACTAATTTTAACTACAAATCGTACGATTATATGTATTTTAAAGCAGTTATTAATGATTTTAAAATTTTATTGTGATTTTATATATTGTTTATAATCATATTGTGTATGTTTAATGTTTATGACCACATTTACCTTTTTAATACTAATTTTTAAACCAACACTTCTATTTAAAATTGTACCATAAAAATATTCGGATTACGAAAAAACTTTAAAGTTACACGCAAAATTCAAGTGACATCATATTTAGATAAATTATTTTAATTTATAAATGTTATGAGGAAAAAGTTGCATTTAAGTTCTCTATTGAATACTAGGACACTACTGTTAGACTCTATGACTTTATTCAAACATAACATATATATATTTATATTACTACGCGCATTATAATTTATGCCTTATGGTGTTAGTCAAATAGTTTCATAACATTGGAATATTCCCATGGAAATATAAAATACGGCCGACTTATTATTACTTTTTATCAGTGAATGTATATTTCTTTAACGCGAAGTATTTTTACGTATAATATAATATGACATAATTAAAACTTACAGGATTCCGTAAAGTCACTTGTTCATTTCAGGAAGAGAAAATAATTATATTTTATTAAAAAAAAAAATGATAGTCATAACACATACACGTAATATTATTTTATGTTTTTATATGTATATTGTAATAATTAAAATGTAGTCTATATTAATTACCTAAAACTTGGTTTGTATTTATTATAACATGATCTGTTTATTTTTATTCGATGCGTGCGAATTTGAATTTAATTTTTCCTAATATATAAAGCTTTTTACATCAAAATTATTCGTATTATTATTAATGCAAGACAAAAAAAAAAAAAAAATAAAAAAATAGTGATTTGAAAAAAGTGTTTTATATTTTTACAATTATCAGTCATAGGGATATCTATTTTATCTGATTTAATTTGTGTATGTATCACTTAATATGTTTGACATTATTAATAGAGAATTCACTACGGTGTGAACGTTTTAAAATAATTATAATATTCTCACAGAGAAAATTCTTGGTATTCTAGCCATTTCAAATTTCTTTTGTGTACGTAATTATCTGGAGAAATATTCTTATCGATGTATTTTATTTTATGACAAATATTCGAAGTAAGAATTATCTTAAGATGTACCGTACGTGAAAAATATTGAGACCTTCATTTAAAGTAATTTAATAATGCCCTTCAATTTGTTATAGATGATAAATTTCTATTTTTATACAAATGTTAATACAATACACTTAATACCTTGATACACATTAACTCAAAGACGATTTTTCTTTAAGAGCACAATAAAATTATGAAAATCGAATATTGACATGGGTATCAAGGCGACCTTGATAGATGGAGCCTTTATCTTCTTTTGAAGAGTTCATCATTGGCACTAAAAATTTATTAAGAACGCAAATCTATAATATCATTATATGTGTCACGGGCTGCTGTATTATTTTCTTCTAATAGACAATAAGCGAATAATTTATTTATACAATAGATAAATTACCAACTATGAAAATTGAATGACATATTTAATGACGCTGCATGAATATTTATGTGTTGTACCTTGTCATTATAAATATGTAAAATTATATTTTTAATAAATTATAAATAAATAAATAAATAAATTGCATTACTAATTACGACCCTTATACATTATTCAAAAAACTTAAAATTGTAAAGTAATATTACGCAGTTTACTAAAATATTTTCAATTTCTTTCAATAAAAATTTAAATATTTTATTTTTAATCATGTAAAAATTTAAAGTGAAATCGTATAAACATAAAATTCAAATTATTAGTTAATTAAATATTGTCAATTTTATTCGTATTAAATTTAAAAGAGTACATTAGATTCAACTATATCTATATTTATGATATTGATATTTTCTTCATCTATCTAGTTTATTCCTGAACAATATTTTTAATTTAAAAATTTGGTTTATTTATTTTTTAATAATTAAAATTGTACAGTATAATTAATCCTATATCCTCTATTTTTCGTACTGAACTTTGACTTAGTACCTGAAAATCGTCCAAGGAGGCTTAAAAAAAGGTGGTGTCATGGTGTCTGAACTTTTAATCGTATTAAATAAAAAAAAAAAATAAAAATCATCAAATGTAACTTGATATCTTTTTTTTTCGTGTAACTTGTATATTTTAGGGCATATGCTTATTGTAAATAATTTTTTATTGATTGTATATTAATTAATAAAAAAAATAGATTATTTATTAAATTTAAATCAAAGTGCCTAATTGTAATAAATTTATTACTGTTTTAATACTAGTATATTACTTCTATAAGACAGAATAATATAATTATTACAAAAATATACCATTAAGATTTTAAATTCTTTTTAGCATTATTTATATAAACACTACAATAGCATGTTTCAAAAATGTAATACGACTTTAAAAACTGTTTACTTATAAAATGAATATTACAATACGTGTACTATATTAAATTAAATTGAATAAGTTTATTGAGTTATTTCCATTAGGTATGTTTAATAAAAATATAATTACTATAGGGTATGTGTTATAAAGAATTTTTAAAGTTTAAATGTAATATTTATTAAAGATAAAAATTAAAAAATGTATAGTATTTTATTTTGAATACATTAAAGTTTTCGTTTTTGGACTAAAATATTTTTTAGATGCTAATAGTAGTATTATTAATAGAGAAAATAATAATTTTTAAATATTGGAGTGATGCAAGTTTAAAGTTAATAAATTAATATATATATATATTTATAAACTTACGGGGTTTATACGTGAATAGTTTAACTGCAGAAGACAACGGAGTAAGTATTTTTTATAACTCTCACTTTTTTTAATTTTTGAAAATGAAAATTTCTGCTACAGAGATGAAGAAAAAGTATTAAGTTTATTTGAAGGTACGCAGAATACAAATAGTCAATAATATCATGATTATGCTGGTACTGCAAATACACATACCTACGAATAGTATGCAACATGTATACTACAGACTACACGTTACTTGACTGACACTGACTAAGTATTTAGTCCAAGGTTCTTAAAAATCATATATTTACCATAACACCGACAATAAAATTAATAAAATAATAATAACCAAACAAAAACGATTATTATGAGAGCAATTGTAGTGACGACGGCCGCAGTGGTTGATAAAAAAAAAGAAATAACATCGGCTCGGCCTAAAACGACCGCGGACGCACGTGGATGGACAATTGACCAATGAGCGACTGGTGAGCGTGGGGACTCGCGATGCTTCCCTTTTAGTATAAATGCGCCGTCCCGTTCGCAGTACAGATCATACTGAATCCAACAGTGTTCTAGAACAGCCACAGCTAGTTCTTAACGTTGTGTTTTATTTTTCAACAGTGTTCTATTACTACTCACCGTTCAATTTGAAAATGGCGTTCATACAGGTCAGTATAACATTATATTATATTTTGAAGTTATATGTAATGTATAATGATAAAAATAATAGGTTAACTCAACAAAATATTAAAATACCGTTTGGTCACTTGTCCAATCTTGTGTTTTTTTTTACACATTTTTTACCTACTTAGATTTATATTATATCTATAGTTCAATAGTTAAATTACAACTGCTTATAAGTATTGCATTAAAAAAATAAAATTATTATGTTTGTATAATTGCATTTATTCCAAGTATAAAAAATAATAAATAGTTTATTTTAATATTTCAGTTCTATAATTCGATAGTACTATAGAAAAGTTGCATTTTGTTTTATATATTTGTACTTTTTTGAATTAAAAATTATTTTTAATAAAATATCTTCATCTACACATTTTTTTTAAAAAAGGGAGCTATAGTAACATTCAATTTCATTGTCATAAAATACGAATAAATTTAGTATTTCTTAAATCTAAAACGTTATAACGTTATAAAATTATAATAATAACTTTCTAGATATGTATAAAATTGTACCATGCCTTTAAACTTGAATTTAGAAAAAATATAAAATATGAATTACTAATATCCACAGAGGTTTTGATAGACTGTATGAGAGACTTTAACGTTCGTAATTGAAGGGATTATTATTTGAAACAATTCGAATTACGCTATATATTCACATTTAGAATTACCTATATAAGACTTAGTTATTCGGAATAACATTAAATGAAAACAAAAGTTATTCAAACTTTCGTTAAAATATTTACATGTAATGAATGATAGCGTTAGGTAACACACAAAATATATTTTGTAAGTACATCTATGACGAAATTGACGAACGCGATGTGTTCCTGCATTCACGCATACATTTTTCCAATAACATATTCTTAAAACATTATTCGTCTTAGTGCGTATAAAATGCATACGGTTATTACACAATTATAATATTCCATATCTGTACCGTTCGAAGTGTTTTACGATTTAGCACAGTGTATTGTCCATATAAATAGCACATATATGCGTATACATCGTATTGGCATAAAAACCACACACAATTATACATATAATATAATACATAATCATTAGTGAATTCAAATCGTAATCACGAGAAAAATATAATTTCGAGCGCATTGTTTGAACGCGACACTATACCAAGTACATACACCGTATTATTTGTATATATATATATATATATATATATATGTATATATAATTTTTGACTTTCTCACGAATTCTCACAGCGACGGTGTTACGCGCTCGTCGGGCGCAAGACTGTCCCACTGCGGTTTGCACATTTATAGATATAATATTACACATATGTAAAATATATATATATATATGTGTGTGTGTGTGTGTGTGTGTCTATGTGTGTAACCGTTGAAATAGTAAAATATACGAACGCGTCCGGTTTTCCGCGTGTTACAATTAATAAAAGATCATCGCGACAGCGACGACGGGCGATTGCGCAACACGAGTTGACCGCGTTTTCTGCGACTATAACCCAATTATCGGATTCATTTTTCACGTCCATTGTGCGGCGTGCTTGGCCGCCGTGCCATTGTCGTGCGTGCGAAAGAATAAAAAAAAAAAAAAAAAAAAAATAATAATAATTACATTCATAATACATATACAATATACATATATTTTTATACATATACCTACGCGTACGTCGCTGCGGAGTAGTGCGCTTCTCGTCAGCGGTTGCGGCGCTAAATACCCATATGCATATATACATATTTATTGTATCCTATGTATAGTATTATACACACGCGGTCGTGATCACACTCGACTCGATAAATTCCGTATAATATATGCATTCGAATGTACATATATACCGCGCGTAATGATTGAACACACGCGCGATCCGATCATCGGGCACGATTCGACGCGAACGAGAGGTCCGTCGTCCGTCGCTACGCCGCGTTACCGACTTGAAAAAAAAAAAAACCGCACACGGGTGCATATTATAATATCATATACGTATAAATATAGGTATAATAGGTACGCTGCTGCTATAGGAACGCAATAGGTGCGCACACTGCAGTTATAGATTATATTATATGATTAAATACGTACCTCCGGCGACGGCCGGTGCAGTGCTGCAGTGGTGTCTTTTCCCATATCGAGATGCACGACGTGAGCGAATAATTGCTTGCAGACGACGTCCCGCGCGGGTAAAGGTATTGCGTTGGGGGCGGAAACATTGGCCAAGAAATTTCGTTCATAAATAACGCGTTGTTTTCGTCAATTTAATACGGTGACCATTCCGTACGGTTGTCCGTTCAGTGTGTAACGAAGATATATATCATCGTTACGGACAAGGCATGTAGGTACCTAAATATTACGCTGTAGGAGTAATGCATCTCATAATATTGTAAGCCATACATGTCTATTATACTTCTGTTGTATTATTACTACTGAAGTTTCATAAAATTCACTCGCTTAAATGTAAGACAGATTTGAGACGAATAACGATGAACAAATAAATAAGCAACATTTTCTTTTGATAAATATATCGAAATGTATAATATGTTTTGTTTCCGTTTGACAGTGCACACTCGCTGCTCTCCTGTTGCACGTAGCTTGTGGAAGCTACTTGGCTCACCGCGCTGCCGCTTACCACGGCGGTGCACCCGCTGCGATCGGTTACCACCACGGCGGCTCACCTGCCGGTTACCTTCACCACGGTTATGACGAGGCCCCGTCCTACGACTACGCTGCGTATCCGGCATACTCGTCAGCCAGCACCTACCAAGCCGACTACCCCAGCTACTCTTCGAAACCTGTCGACTACTACGTGAGTGATGCACACGCTGCAGTACATAATATTATGATATATTAATTTTTAATACATTTTACACGTATCATAAAATATATAATAGTAATAATAAAAACAGTCCTTGACGCATTCAACGGGAAAAACACCACAGACATTAACCGTATATAGCCTATATACATAAACAATTTTCTGACTAAAATTAATATATGCTGATCACACCGATTACATAATACCTATGTGGTTACAATTAAATCTAGAAAAACAAAATATAAGCTTAAAAAAATTATAATATGTGAATTTCGCCTTTCCTGAAATATTATAAGCATTTGATTGACATATATGTATTCATTCGACTATGCACATATGTTTAACGATGATTTATAAATATTATACGTATACAGAATCGTATTATTCGTATGCACATAAAGATATCGTATAATCGAAAAAATCGGCCATATAACAATATCATATTATGTACCAGATATCCTCTTTATACAATACGTTGGCCGCTCAGACCGCTTTACCGCCTCTAATCATCCGTCAACACCAAAATTTAGGTTCATAAAAAAAAACCCTCCACCGTGTCTCGTCACACCTCCTCCATATACACAATATTATCATAATATCGTCATTTCATTAACATATACAATTTTATTATGTCATATTTCTCGTGTCCCAAACTTGGAATGGCCACTATACTATCACGCCGGATCGCTACTGCAGTCGCCGCCCAAGTACTCATTCAACTACGGCGTGAAGGACTATCACACCGGCGATGTCAAGGATCAATGGGAAGAGAGGGACGGTGACGTTGTCAAGGGTGAATACAGCTTGGTCGAACCGGACGGCACCACACGCAAAGTCACGTACACCGCTGATGACCACAACGGTTTCAACGCGGTCGTACACAAGTCCGGCACTGCCCATCACCCGACCAAGGTCGCCCACGCACCAGTCTACCATCACGCTTACCGTCGTTAAGACCAATCAATACACGAATCGACCGAATCGACCAAAAGTTAAACCATCGTTACCATACGTTATATTATTAAGTATTATTTTTTAGGCATACGTTTCGTTCATAAGCGTACAACGTTAATACATACTCGTAGTATATTATATATATATAGCATATAAAAGTAGAATTTTTATCCCCATACCAAATCAAAAAAATATATAAATAATACAGATGTCGATAGGAGGTACCTTTACTGTATTCAATTTCTTTTTCTAAAGTTTCGTACGAAAATCTTAGTATGTTCTAATATCTCACGCTGTATACTTTAACGAGTCTCTTGGCGTCAACTTTACAAAACAAACATTCTGATTCTTTTTGTTTCTACCCGTTGCTTTTCGCTAAAGTATACAAAATTTTAATATTTTTATTACAAATTTTTTAAACTCAAGTAATCGAGTAAACTATATTTATAATATACTATACGGTCTTTATTGCTTCGTCAATGATCTCTTTTCGATATAATTTTTACACGATAACCGAATATCTCAACGTACCTTCTACAGGTCGTACATCTAATATAGATTGTTTCGTAATTATTTTAATACTATATAATATACGTTTAGAATGAAGACATTTTTTTTTACTTAAAAATCATTTTTCATTTATTTTTTTACGCGGTGTTTTTTATTTGATTGTCTTTTGTTTTATTTTGTATTCAAATTAATTATTATTGATTTCTACGCGCTCTCAAGAATTGTATACCAAATCTTGGGTATAATATTTCTCGATTGTTAAAAATGCTGTAGAAGACATACTTGAAATATTTTTGTATACTTTTTACTTGATCTTTGTACTTTTTTTTTGTATATACATTTCATAATTGCTCATAATATATCTAAAACAAATATACTTATATATCTGTTTAATTTTATTGTATTATTCCTGAATAACTGCAACTATATCATGGTGGATAGCCATACCATTGCGATAACAACGATCCAACACAATATTTATATATACTCATATATCAATTAAGTAACTATGCTGAGACGCAAACGAAAAATTACGTGGCATGTAAATAAACAATAAGTAAGAGAAATTAAATAAATTAAACAAATTAAAATGTTAATTTTTTTTTACATTTTAAATCGACTATTTTCATTTGATACGTATTATAAATGCAAGAGTGACAATGTTAATATTATTTTATATTCTAATGAATTAAAAAATATTATAAATTATAACGATTGCAGTGAATAATATTCAAGTATATAATACATATTATCATAATAAATTAATAATTTTCTAGTCCCATTTCAAAAAAATTAAAAAATAAATTATTGAATAGAAAAAAAATGTAGGTATAAACGGGCACAAATCCGGTACAATACCCATATATATATATACCATATAAACCATGTGAGCACACAATTGCATATTATTACATAAATGTCTGGAAACAAAATATTATATAGAATTATATATATATTTATATATCTTCTATAATACGGCGGTAAACCGAACTTGGCACGCGGAATCGTGCGCGTTTTGTATCGAATTCAGAATATTTGTATTTAAGGTCTTCGCCTCGCAATATCTATACAGATGCACATAATACGGCATATTCTATAGATTATTCGCTATAGTATACGGTTGCACATGCGTGGATAATAGTGTAAGGTATATGGGATATTGTGATAGGGTAGTATACATAGCAATACGGTGTCCGCGTATAATATATTATTTTCTTATCATTCTCGTCGTGTGGCGGTGACCCTACAATAACGACGCGTTCGAATAAACAAATATTTCGCAACGATCGAACCGCCTCGCGGAGACGGTTGTCACGAACGCGCACGGTGAACGGACACGACACAATAATAATAAATAATAAATAATGTAGTACGTTACGACGTTCTCGCGCGACGGTTGCACATGGAGTGCAGGACGGGAAGGAATAAGAGCGTATTTTCCGCGTTTCGTGTTATATTATTATGGTTTTTACGTCGGGCGAGCCGAAAATCTAAAATCCGCGTTATACTTACACGCTGCAGCGTATTTCGAACGGTTTCGCGCGGCGTACCTACGCTGTGATTGATTTTAAATTTTAGTTAATGTCACGTCCACATGCTTTGTCACCGTTTTGCATGTACATACGACGAAGATAGCAAGTTTTCGTTCAGTAGAATACATTTTAAGTCGTTAACTTTGATGTCGGAAGCTTTTATTAATATTATAATTTTATAGTGAGTTATTAGCATTTTAATTTTGTGATATTTTACGTACCTATAGTTTACTATAAAATGATAGTATCAATAAAAACCTATCTTTTAGCCCGGATAATATTCATACATTTAAGTTTGATAATACCTAAGTAAATCCACTGTAATACTTAGCCAACAACATAAAATGGATGATTCAGCTGAACCCAAATTTGCCATGTTGTATGTTTGCAGTAAAACGGGAAGCATCGCCTACGGGTGTAGCAGATCATTTTTTAAGGATCTTTTTTGTGTCCAAATAGACAGTTAGCTCAACGTTTTTATTCACATTATTCAATTTTCATTGGGTTTGTCCACTATATATAAAACTTAATACTAATTTTGAGATGCAAATTTTAAGATGTATACTCCTGTATTAATAATTTTTATTTGTTATCATTAAACATTTTTTTTTTTTTTAATACAATATATATGCCAATAAAATACAGTACCTAAGTAATTTATTTGTTAGCTTTTATGCATAAACATCGTGATATAATTATATGATACATTTTGTTCTTTTTAATGTTTCTATAAATGTATGACAATTTTAGAAACTTAGTAATTATAATAGAGATGTGCTAATTAGATGAAAAAATACTGGTTTATGTGAATAATATTGGTATTCCATGTGACGCTCTCGCTGTAAGGCGAGTCACTGGGAAGATCACTGAGAGTTAAAGGAAGGAGTTTTTCTACTAATGAAACTTGTTTTAGGGGAGGAGGAATGATCACGCAGTGGTTATTCGTTAAAAATGGCCTGGGATGAGGCTTTGTCTTAACAATTATTATAATTACTGTACGTCGCAAAGTGTCAGGAGATAGTGATTGAGCACAGTCGCGATTATAAGATCAACACGCGCAGTATAAATAATTACCAGTCCTTGCCGTAACAAATCGATAAAAAAAATAGAGTAAGTCCGTTTTATAATGTTAATTATTAATAATTGACAACACATTGTGCGTATTATGTGCACGCGAGTACCTATATTGCATATACGTCACGCCGGGTTCAAAACCGGCTAATATGTAAAATAATATTATTAATATTAGTCATCAGTTATTGGAGTTATTTAACGTAGTCAATAACTTACTTACCCGCAATTCTTATTTACGACTAATTCGCATAATAACTGTGAAAATTTTTGATTTTATTTCAATTTTTCAAAATTTGTTAAGTACTCGTACATATAATAACAAACAAGTAACATGACCAAATTAACTTGATCTTTTACTGGTTTTTAGGTAGTTTTAATATGTTTTATGATACGGTAAGTATCTATTTGAATTAAGTATTAGGTAAAAAACCTTACCCGGATTTCTTGTCAAGGGTGAAGTTGTTGATTGATTTCTCCGCAGCGTATGTGATTGGCCGAAAATGCGTGTACAACCTTGTCTATCCAGCAGGGCACGACGTGTTTTAAACACGAATGACATGCAATTTAATGACTAAAGATACATTAATATTCCGTTTCAATTAAGTAATTCTCTTTTACAAGGCCAAGAGCACACATTGGTACAACATTTATCACTGACCAACAATATTGTATAAGCAAAACAGTTCTTTGCGTTTCACTCGTTGTCATTAAAGTTTACGACCAAGATTTGTATGCGTTTGCATATTTGTACAACTGGTCGATCATCTGCAATATATTAAGTAAGCACAAAATATTATGTTACACGACACGATTAATATCACAGATTAATATTTTTATTGCTAAACATTTTATTTTTATTGTGTATATTGTGATACTAATACCTAATGCATTTTATAAAGTTGACATTTTGATTATATACAATACTCAATTTTCTCAACTATATTTCATAAGGATTAATCAACTATCATAATTACCAAATTATTTTTTTTTATTTAAATAATGTATGATATTTTTAGTGTAACAATATAAAATAAAACATACTTATGAAATTTTTATTTTTATAAATCTGATCCTAAAATCATTGGTAGCAGAAGATACACTTGTCTGGATATAATATTTTGTGAATTAGTTTAAAATTCTATAACAATATATGTTTATTTGTACAATAGTAACAATTCTTAAAAAAAAAAGTTAAAATTCATTCAGTTTATCATTTTTAAACAAATTTTGAATTCTGCAGTTAATACTTCAATAGCTACCACTTATAAATTCTTCAATAAAAATTTGTTGTACACACAAACGTAAAATTAATCACAATAAATAATAAAAACTATTAAATAGTTTATTAATTGTATACTGCAGCCATTCAAAACAAACATATTAATTCAACTTTGATAAATCTTATAGATAATAACAATTTTAATTTTAATCACAATACAAGTATTGAAATTAATATATTAAGATTTATAACCGTGTAAAAATTGAATTTTATATATTATAAATATATGTTGTTTGTTTTTTAAAGAAATAACATTTAATAGGGTCATCAAGTTAAGTAAAAAAATATAAACTTATGAAAAATACTAATACCATTTCAAAATTTATTTTTTAGTACTATTATTTAAATTTAACAAACTAAATCAAAGATATAATACAGATTTGTACATTAGAAAAATTGTGATTTAATACAAAATATATCCAAAAATAAGAAAGATTCAAATTAATTATCAATTAATGTATTCTGGTTAAATCTTCAACCAGTTTAATAACATCATCTAGGGTTAATTTTGTTTCTTTTGAAATTTTCTTGAACTCATGGTCATAGCATCCCTGAAATGTAAAAATGTAAAACATTATGTACCTTTTATAAGCATAATTTTCATATATTACAACTACATTAATTATATTATAATGAAAGATGTGAATTTGATAAATTTTATTATTAAAAATAAATATTTATGCATAACTTTTTTTACTTAAGCATTTACTATTTAGTTTAAATAATTAAGCTATATAGATTCTGTATTTACACTAATTTTACATTTATTAAAGGTTTTTTAATAAACAATTTTAACAAGAGTAAAAATGGGGATAAAAATTCACATTTACACATTTAAAAAACTTTTGAAAAAATGCAAATTTATCTAATTTTGCCAGAAAAGTCCACATCTCTAATTGTAACCAAATTATTTATATTATCAGTTATACAAAAAACCATAATTATAAATAATATAAAAAAACTAAATACAATTAAGCAATTGATTAACTAAAATTAAGTATTT